ATTTTCAAGAAGCATTTTTGTAACTATATCAGTATATTAACTAATTCTCAGCAGTGATGTATTGAATTTCCAGAGCCTTTTCCTCGAGTCTTACATAAAGAGTTCGAAAGAGTTAGTGTGATAGCTGAATGATCAGATTTGTATCCTGGGAGGATATCAGAGGACATAGTAAGATTTGCAATATCTCTAGAAACTAGGAAATAATCAAGTCTTGATTGTTGTCGAGGGTATAGCTATGACTTAGTTAAGATTTTATTTCCATTTCTGTCTTAGTAGTACCCACAGTATAAAGGCAGCCATAATCCAGAGTGTTAGTGAGTGTTGGTGCTTTGAACTCTATCCTGGCTTGAATAGGCGACCAATATAGAGTTTTTCAGACAATAAACTATTACAGTAGTCTAGCCTAGAAAATAGGAGTGAGCGGACCAGCATCCTTGGTTATCAGGTGTCTGATGGTGCTGATATTTTTTACATGGAAATGGCATATTCTGCAAAGATTACAGCAGAATAAGATCTTCTTGAGGAAACTTCTTGGTTTCCTCATATTTCCAATGCAATCAGAGACCATCCCAAAACCAGACATAGCATACACTTAGGCAAGATTCCAACCATTTTTCGGATGGTCATTGCTCCCAGAAGGATCTTATACCATGGCATGGCTGTGGTAACTTACATTCAGAAGCGAGGAGGAACCATATCCAATTCATTGTTTTTATTACTCAGTCAATTTCCAGATAGATGCAAGACATATTCCTAGAAGACCGCCTCCGTGGTGTAGTGGTTAGAGCGTCCGCCCGGAGAGCGGAAGGTCGCGGGTTCAATCCCCGACCGCGTCATACCAAAAGACGTTAAAAAATGGTACTTGTTGGTCCCTGCCTGGCACTCGGCATTAATGGGTACAACAAGGACTGGTCGGCTCGGAGTCAGTATAATGTGTCTGAGTAGGGTATTCATGCTTCACTGCGGCATGGTATCTCAGTGAGCTAGCACTATAAAACCAGCTTAAGCCTGGGCTAGTACAAGCAGCCGCACATACACATACACGCGCATGCACGTCGTCATATGAGCGAAATATTCTCAAGTACGACGTTAAACCCAATTTCACTTCACTTCCTAGAAGACTGAAGATCCCAGCAGACAGCCTTTCTAGTTGGGAGAAGTCTTCCGCAGCAATCTTAGTTTCCAAGCACTTACCTTGAACAAATTATCTCATAGAAATTGAAACAAGCAAGTTTCTGTAAATCAGTGTATCCAGCAACAGTTAAATCATTTAAACCACCACTGTTCCTCCTTTTAAATCAAGACCACCTCCATGGTGTAGTGGTTAGAGCGGAAGGTGACGGGTTCGATCCCCGACCGTGTCATACCAAAAGAGGTTAAAATATGGTACTTGTTGGTCCCTGCCTGGCACTCGGCATTAATGGGTACAACAAGGACTGGTCGGCTCGGAGTCAGTATAATGTGTCTGAGTGGGGTATTCATGCTTCACTGCGGCATGGTATCTCAGTGAGCTAGCACTATAAAACCAGCTTAAGTCTGGGCTAGTACAAGCAGCCGCACATACACATGCATGCACGTCGTCATATGAGCGAAATATTCTCAAGTACGACGTTAAACCCAAATTCACCTCACCTCACTTCACCTTTTCAAACGATCAATCGAATACGGTCATTTAGTGGAGATGAAGACATGACCTCGGAGATTCCCATGGTCTTGTTACTAGTTCTACATCAAGATAAAAAGCCTTGGTACAATAGAAGGGTACTGATCGGCCTAATATTCTGTACATGTTCAAGATGGGATGTCAATTTCCCATCATACTACTATCAATAAACTTACGACAGCCACAGTTAAGGAACTTTGGCAACAAGTATTACATTCTTCAATACAGTTTCAGTTGAATGACTTGCATCTAGTTGTCACTAGGGCTTGCACAAAACATTTACAAACTTCTATTTATGCGATGTTCAGGTAGAGTTGGAAGGGATCCACACCCCAGGCCCCATAATGGCTGCTCCATTGATCATAAGAAAATAGTTTTGGAATATAGAATTTGGTGGAGGTCCTGAATCTGCAGCCTCAAAGGAAGATACACCTTTGATTTTCTTACCCTTAGTACAGATTATTTAGAAACAGATTAACGTAAATGATTAAGGTAGTTCAGACCGAAAGTAAAGTCTGAATCAAGCAATATCATTGACTGAAGTGAAATCATATTCAGAACCAAAGTAAGTGTTGTCACAATCAACACAAGAATGGCACAAAGGACCATTTGGATGGGAAAAGATAACCGGGAAGTGATGTCAGAACTGGAAGATAACATCATTAATGGCACCATGAACAATATGTTGTATCATAACTTAAAGTATTATAGACTGGAAATGATGTCACAGAAACCAGAAAGAGAAACATCATTGTAGGTCATCTACAGTATTACATCTACAATATTACCCATTTCTGGTGTCCCCTGCTGTGATGTTGCTGGAATATTGCTAAAAGCGGCGTAAAAAACAAAATTAGTCAGTCAGTCAGTCTACAGTATTACATCTACAGTATTCTACTAAAGATACCACATACATAACACTATTGTCATCTACTCTGGGAGCACACCTGAGCCAAAACTGACTCTATCCCACTATAGTGTTCTGTAGAGGTGGCTATTGCTGAGAATTTTCATATTGCAATATATTGCAATGCAAAATATATTGCAGTATGTTGCAAGAATTTTTTTTAAAGGTCACATGCAACCAAAAAATCAAACATAATTAAAACACAATTATCACTTATTCATGACATATAATATACATTGCTGGTTATGAAAAAACATATAAACAAAATTATAAGTGTACAATCGCAAATCATAAGTGCAATATTGTGTACTTGGGTTTACTTACCAAGAAACGAAGCAGCCGGGATACCGAACCCAGTCAGAGCGGGTGGGTGTGCACTCAAGTGTAACGGCTGGTTCATTTGCAGACGCCCTCACGGCTCATTGTGTGTGTGTATATATAGTGATGTTGGGTTTTGTAAATACATGCTCATTTTTTGTGTATAACATTTTGCAATCAACAGACATCATAACATGTCATGTGCTCAAGTATCACACCTGCCTGTCTGTGTAATTACATAATGTGACAGAGACCGAACTCGGGCCATAAATCAATGCGTTTTGTTTATGGTGTATAGCCTGATTGGTGTTAAGTTCAAATTGCATGTGGTCAGTGATCGAAATTGTGTATTGAATATTGTCATTAGCAGATAGGCAGGCAGACACACAGGTGTCAATAAAACAAGACATTGAGTTTTGTCTGTGACAACGACATATCCATATCACAGTTAAAAATTCTGTCAACGCTAAATAATGACATTGCTTATAAGTATCGAACTGAGAAAGTGACTCGGTAAGAAGAACGTGTGGTGAAATAGACAAATGAAATTATATAAACAGTTTATTTACTGTCATAACATATAAAAAGCTCGCGCCTGTGAGATATCAACAAAACATTAGGAAAATAGCTCACACCAAAGCCCTCACCGAGTATTCACCGGACAGCCCGCTTCCAAGTTGTGCGAACCTATTTCACTGCACACATGCTATGAGCGCAGCCCAGCTGTTGAAACCAATTTTCCCCTGAAAAGTCGGGGGAAAATTAGTGAATCGTTTGAACTCCGATTTCGCACGGTTTTTTTCATCGCGTTATTTTTCAACTTTATAAGTTGAATTTGCATTTGTGATGATTTGTTTCGGTAAGTCCATACCAAAAGGTATCAGAATCTGCAAAGTTGTGTTTTACGTTGCATGTGACCTTTAAGCAGAAGCTACTTATAATAGAGGTAATGCTTGATATATAAAGCAAAAAGACAAAAAAAATCACTATGCTTGATTAAGCTATAATAAAATCTTTGAATGATGACAAAATCAATAATATTTGGCACAAATGCAACAAGGAAAAGAACAATTTATTATCAACACAGTGGTTACTAGTTTGATCAAGTTTCTCCATTTTCAAAAAAAAGTCCTGAGATTTTAGACAGCAACTTGACCTGGTCAGGACATATCAGAGATCACTGGTCATTAATGAGTAAATATTTAAAACATTCAGATCCAAAACACTGCGAAACACTTGAACAAAAATTAAGAACACAACTTCAAACCAAACTTAACTTGACTTCTGGTGTGAAAAACGGAAATATCTGAAGATTTCCGAGTGTTATGAAGTTTCATGAAATGCATGTCGAAATACCTGTTTTCGATCAGCGTATCGCAATACGTATCGATTTCATGTCTAAACCGGTTATTTTGTGCAGCCCTAGTTACCTGGTAAGGATGTATTAAAAAGAAGTAGGGAATTTTTGTGAATTATAAGCACAGTAGTTATCATTGTTAAAAGGTTTAAGGATACTACCTACATTGATTACATCATAATTACTCACACCCTATTCCCCATTCTTGTGGAAACATTTGGAAGAAGTCGTTTTTTTCCTACCATGACAAGATGAAGAGCTACATGCTCATTGGTGGTACTGTTATCTTGACAACTGTAGCTGTCAGTGTTGAGAATTATTAAGATTAGTTTTGTGTAACTGTAGTCAAAATAGATGATTGAATATATGTTACCTGATAATGTAATAGCGTTTGAATTTCTAACAATGAAGTCTATTGGTAAGCCAGAATTTTAACCTTTACTATAAGTGTAAAATTCCTGGTGGGTTTTCAAATTTGCAAATAACTGCAACAATACCTCAGTTCTTTTGCAAGTATTTATGACCAGAGATTGTGCAAGGTGAATTGAATGTACTTCTATGGCTCATGTTTTCCTGTCTGCCAGTGAAGATCAAATTCATTGCAACATGCTGTTGTGTGCAAATTTGACAAAGACCAAATTTCAGTTATTTGGGACATGCATTACATACTTTATTGGAAGACTGCATTATTCAGAAGTGTACAATCCAATCATTGAACATTGGACATCTGTCTTGAGATTATTCTATATTTACAGAGGGAGAGGAAAACTCATTATGTTGAGGACATACAGGACAGGATAGAGGACCTGTTTGGGGTTGGTGCAGACCTCGAACTTAGGAGTGAGTCAGCTCTTTCCTCCTTATATATACCACCCTCTGATCTCTGAGGTAACAAGTACATTTATCCTGCAAATATTTTCCCCACTTCAAGCCAAACCTGCCAGACTATTCATTTAGTCTTTTGTTTTACTCTGCATGGAATATCAGCTATCTGTCATAGTTTTCACAAAGTTTGACTTCTAATTTCAGTTGCCAAACTGACAGTGGACATTCGAACAGTCATCCCACACTGTGTCAAGTTCAGGCAGGTAACTGACATTAGCAAGGAGGAAGTTTTGCATCCTGACCACTAGCGTGTGGATTTACCACCATACTTAACTCTCACACAAAAAAATGAGGGGTATATTTTCCACAAATGTTGTTCGTGAGATTGGATGATTGATTAAACTTAATGAGTTTAACTTCTGATAAAGGTCAATGTAAGCTTGAATTGTTGCTTTGGATTCCTGACAAAACAAAACCTTATTCTGTGATTAAGGTCATGACAAATGTCAAGGTAATTTGCCATGTGAAAGACTTGTGGACAGTTTGATTCTGAGAGTATTTACAGAATGTCCAGTAACATTACGTTTGAGAAAACACTTAGTCTTTCAATGTGTAATTATCTGGAATTCGTGACTGAGATTTGAAGGCATGTTTATTGGACCAGAGGGGAGCCGTGAGTATGGGATGTTTCCTGGTTTAAAATTATACTACATCAGATGTGTACTTCTCTAAGTAAAGCAACTGGCTCTCAGCCAATGACTTTTGAAAAAAATAGTGCAGGTGGGTAGCCTTTCTGTTTTTCACCCTAGGTAAGTTCCACCTGGCATATGGGTACAATGTGTGAAGCCCATGCCGTGATATTGCTGGAATATTGCTAAAAGCGGCGTAAAACCATACTCACCCACTCCACTTTACAAGCACTGTAAATTGTAAATGTATTCCTTGGTAACCTTGATCAGTAACAGGTACCATCAACCACTTTACTAACTTTGTGTCCTTTGATAGCAAATGCACATGTCATGGTCACTTGCCGTTTTCTTTTCTAATGTCCTGTAAATAGGGCTTAATTATCTTGGCACAATTTAACAGTCTCAACATAAAACATTGATTGTAAAACTGGTGATCATGAAAATTTCTGAAAATACATTCTCCTTTGGAATAGTCGTGGACTACAGTTTGACTACTGTGTGACAAGGTGATGTAAGTGCTTAAAACCAGAAAAAGTATGTCAGATTATCGTTTTGGTTATGTTTTTACCCAGTCTGACCATGAACATTGTATGTTCATTGTATGTCTGGGGCCCCTGGTGTAGTCAGTTGGTTACAGCATTTGCTCGTGAGGGTGAACTGTGTAAACAGCTGTTTGATATGTCTGGCTGTTTTCTGAGACAAATATACATGTATTTTTAATCTCTACGTATGGACCACTGTCTGGCATTCAGTAAAACATATGATAGCATTTCAGATTATCATGTTTTATCGCAAACTGCATATTGTCATAGACTTAATTGCGATGTTTTGACAAGCTCACAACTCCTACTGCCATGATTATAACATGCACGGTTAAGTAGTTTGCGTGCAAAAGGAACTGTACTTGTTTTTTTATAGTTTTGAAGCATTTCACTACCCCTACCATGTGTTCGAGATGCTTAATATGTACTGATTTCCTTTATAAATGGAAATAGAAACTAAGCTTATTGTGAATGACTGAGGGAAGTAATGCCATTTAGGGAATTAGAGTGGACATTCCTTTGCACCCATTTATTCACAAGAGCAAAGGTACTTTAATTCGATATTAGGTTATTGCATGCAAATATTTCACAAAACTTCAGGTAATTGTTTTGAACTGGAAATATATGGTGGTAAACACAGGGATTCAAGATGTCCAGAAGTGGATAAAATCCTGTGAAGACATAAACAATCTTGATTTCATGTTGTGAGCTTTATCATTTATAAGGAAAACGTGGGCGGTGGGGTAGCCTAGTGGTTAAAGTGTTTGCTCGTTACGTGGAAGACCCGGGTTTCGATTCCCCATGTGGGTGCAATGTGTGAAGCCCATTTCTGGTGTTCACTGCCGTGATATTGCTGGAATATTGCTAAAAGCGGTGTAAACTCACTCACTATAAGGAAAATGTAAAGTCTACTATAGTCCGTTTGGCTCAAAAGCGGACCGATGAATTGCAATCTAACTCGAAAACTAATAAACATAACATACTCAATGAAACGCTGATCATAATCAAAACATCATACCAACTCTGTGAGGTTTTTGCAGAATTTTTGTCCTTGAACCTAAAAAAGTTGTTTAACAATCTATCATTAAAATATTGACACAGTTCACTGTTTGTTATGAGGGAGGAGTGCAGAGAAAGGGACAGCCAGGTGTTTGAGAACGGATGGAGACGGCACAGCACAGGTTAATGAATAAATAACTTTGTCTGTGAACTCGAACACCTGGCTGTCCCTTTCTCTGCACTCCTCCCTCGTAACAAACAGTGAACTGTGTCAATACTTTAATGATAGTTTGTTAAACAACTTTTTTATTTTTAGGACAAAAATTATGCAAAAACCTCACAGAGTGGGTATGATGTTTTGATTATGATCAGCGTTTCATTGAGTATGTTATGTTTATTAGTTTTCGAGTTAGATTGCAATTCATCGGTCCGCTTTTGAGCCAAACAGACTATAGTATTTTGATTAGGGAATAACAGGAGAAATGGTGTACTATTTCCATATGCGTTTGAGTTTAATGATGCTGAAATGTTGTCAGGACAAGAAGAATAAGGCTCAGCTGGTGGAGAAGATACAGATGAGGAAGAAACTGCTGAAGTATCTGCGCAAGGAGGACTACCAGCGATTCCTCTGGCTCTTGAGGGAACTGAGGATTCGCTATGTCCCCATCCAGGAATACCATGGCCATGCAAGCAAAAAGTTCCTTAAGAGAAGTGGCACCGTGAAGGCAGCATTTAACGTGAGAAAACAGAAACTGATTGAACTTCGAGAACAACTTGATGCTGAACGGGTGGACTATGAGGTGTACAAACAAAAAGCTTTAGCTGACATCCAGATTGATATTGAGAAACTCTGCCTTGATAGAAATCTTTTGTGGAAGCAGCAGGTGCGTGAATCAATGACCAAGGCAGAGGTCAAATTACTTAAAAAGGTACAGGTGGGAAGGACCTAAGAGGATTTATTGATACATAACTAAAACTGAAACATGTAACAAATTTCCTCCATAGTTAAAGGCTGAAGTCAGGGTGGGTCATATGACCAATCAACAGCCTACACATACATATCTATAACAATACAGCGATCAGTCAGTAGGGCTGCAACGATTCACCCACACCTCGATTTGATTTGATTTTCGAAATTGGACCCTCGATTCGATCATTTTTTATTCGATTCAACTCTCAGAGTCAACTTTTTTAGCATGAAATCCATCGTCAACTTGGCTATGTCTACTAACAACAAATTAGCCCGGCGTCAACCAATCACATTTCGTCTCATTTCAGCGCTCGAAACAGCTCGAGTTGGAGTCAAAATTACGTTCTGGCTGTGTGGAAATAATTTAAGTAGGTATTCAAATATTGAAATAGTGATAATGGTTATCGAAAATATCGAAACTAAGGTGTCAGATTCGATTTTCGATGAATCGAAACGAATCGTTGCAGCCCCATCAGCAGGTCAGTCAAAACTGGCGCATGGGGGTTGTTGATTTGTCACTGGTGCACAAAACAAAATAAATATAAACGACAATGTAGTGGTGCATGTTTCTTAAAAAACAAAACAGATAATTTGAACCCCGATGTAGTGGTGCATGTTTTTTAAAACTGACATCTGATCACAAAACAGATAAATTCTTATGAATACATCCCTTTTAACATTTGATTGCCTTTTTCTTGAAACTTGTTTCTGAATCCACAGGTTTAGCTTGAATAAAATACTTAAAGTCCAAGGATTTGTGTCCTTTTTAATTATGATCCACCAAATGCTGGCCATTGAAGTTATCTTCCCTAGCAGAGAGGGGGAATCCTCATCAATTTTGTGAACATGTTCTGAAAAAAAACCGGTAGATAAAAAAAATGGATAAATTCATGCTGGCTTCCCAATGGGCACTAAAAATTGTACAGATTGTGTCAAATTAATGTCCCCTCAAGATCCTCACAGAATGTGTGGACATACCATGTTTGTTTGTCTCCAGATTGAGGCCAGTAAACCACTTTGGTGTTTGGAAAATATGCTTTAGTCCTTGAAAAAATGGCAAGAGAAGAAAATGCAAAAAAAACCTCCCCACAGCACCAAAGTGATGAAAGTTCCTCTAGAGCCTGGAGAAACCTCTGATGTTCAGTGTGACTCATAGGGAGCCTGGCATCCTCCCCGTTTCATCTGTTATGGATACACCATGTCACACAACCCCAGACGCCTAATTATGTCACAGAAGTCTTATCAGTGGCCGTGAAACCATTTAGCAATCTCATCCAATTGTCTCAATTCTGACTTTTCAAGAAAAGTGCCATGGCGGTAAAGAAAGGCCAGGATAAAGAGATGGCAAAGAAGCAGCCCCCATACTCCTGCCATCATGATGGATGATTTGGAAATATCAGCTGGGAAGCATGCTGTTCAGATCATATCACACCCCAACCTGTGACTCCAGAGCCGAGGTGCTTCACTGTGGAAACTAACAGCGGCCCTGAAACCTTTGGACCACAGGGATTTGAATCACTGTTTGGACAATGATGTAAAAAAAACAAAATTTGTAAACTTATCCTATCTCACTGTATGCACCTCTCTCTTCTTCTATGACCATGTGTGGAAACGTGCTGTAGGCTAAGTTGAATCAAATCTTGCTGGCCTCTGACCCGCCCTGACCTCTGCCCCCACTCCGACATCAACACCTGTCAATCATCTCTGTAAGCGTGCTGCTCGCTCAGATGATCATGTGACTACCTGTGCCTGTCATTCTCTTTCTTGTCGCGGCGTCTGGTGGACGTGTGCTTGGCTATGGAAAGTTTGTATGTGATTCTCTACAACTATGGGAAAGTCTAATCGCAGTATTTCTAAGAAACGACAGCATTGTGACCAATGCAACAGTAATTTTTCAGCGGCGGACCCACATGTCTTGTGTGTAGACTGTTTAGGCAAATGTGAATGGTCCCATCGCTGTACTATGTAAGGATCTCAACGATGATGATTTCTCGGCATATCGCCGGGTGGCTGGTAGACGTTTATCCGATCGAGATCGCCGTCAACTATCTGAGGGTCCGTCGGCATCGAAACGTACCAAGGCTGAGCGTCGTAAATCTGCGGCAGTCCGTTGTTCGAGGTCCCCGTCTCCTATTGAGGATTTCCTAGAAGAGGCGTCTGATTCCTACCTTAGTGAGAACTTAAGACAACTGTTCCAACCGCGTGGCCGTAACCCCATCACGTTGGAAGACTCGTCTCCACCTAGGGTTGTTGTGTTAACTACGTCCTCTCCACAACCTCATCTGTCTACGGTGGTTGTTCCTTCGTCTGGTTCTCATTCAGTGGTTCAGTCGAATGTGTCACTTGATTCTAAACCACCACATTATTCGAGTGCCCCTCTTGCCTCACAAGCGTTGTTTCCTTTAGGCCAGATATCAGTTAGAGCGCCGCTTGTGTCCAATTCGGCGCTTCCTACTAGTATTCTTGGTTCGGCGCTTACTACCGGCGTGTCCAGATCGGCGCTTACTACTGGTGTATACTTCGGGAGGTTTTGATTCAGCACTTCCTTATGCAGGCTGGGGGTCGTCGCTTCCTCAGGGTGTTCCCAGTGCGATGCATACTCACAATGTTCCTGGTTCAGCGCTTCCTCACGGGGTTCGTGTTGCCCCGCTTACATATACTGGTCCGAGTTCGGTGCTTACCTCTCATGTTTGGCACTTGGTCCTTCTACGTCAACCTTTGCTGTTAATAGCCGGGACCTTGCGACTTCGTTGTTGGCGCATGGGAGTGTGCCTCAATCAGCTGGTGGTTCGGTTCCTCAGCGGGAGGTACCTCGTCATACCTTGGTACCGCCTTCTGTTTCATCGGTACCTCCTGTATCGGGACTGGGGGCCAGACCCATGTTGCCGGTTTCCTGGAATCCGGGCTCTGAGGTTTCAGGTGCTCAACCTTTGGACTTTGATGCTATGGTACTAGCGGTAGCGTCAGCGTTACGACAGCAGGTGCCAACTCCTCCTGCTCATCAGTCATCCCATCCTTCGAGTTATCCAGCTCCTCCTTTACAAGAGGTACGCGATTACAGCGTAGTACCTCATCAGCGGATTTATTATCCAGTTTTGACATGAAGCCAGGTGATTTTGGGTCTATCACGTTCCCGCCTCGACCGTGTATTATTCAATTGGCAACGTTGCTGGACGAGGCCTTCTGTAACCTCATGAAGGTGAAGAATGGGTTCGCGGCTCCCCGTTTCAACTTAGCACTTATGTTCATGGTTTCTCTACGCTTATCGTCTCCCCTCCGGTGGATGATGATGTTTCTTTGCTTGGGACTAAACAGAAGGTTTTCTCGCCGTTCCGGGTTGAGGATCGTGAGCTGTTACATTTGGATGGTGTCATACGGAAGGCTATGGCTCCACTCAACATGGTGTTGACGACTACCGAAGCAGTGGCTATGTCGGTTGCAAATGCTACGTCCCATCAACAAGCGTATATTCAGGCAGCTATGGTCTTGTTGCAAGAGCAATTCCAGACCATTCTAGATCAGTTAGCTCACTTCTTTTCGTACATCACAGCTGTACGTCGCAGGGGGCCTTTGAACTTATCCTCTTGGGAGGATCGGTTACTTACTGATCTTTTTCGGCAGCCATGGTCTGGCAGATCTTTGTTTAACGGAGCTGTTAGAGATGTTGCTAACAGAGTGGGCCAGGACGCTCATTTACAAGTGTCAGTGGAATTGTTGAAGTTCCAGCGTTTGCAAGTGGAGGAATCGTTGCGCCAACGAAGGCCAGCCCGTTATGTTCCTGTGGATCCTGATCTTCGTGCGAGTTCTGCTGCTTCCTTTCGTGGGAGAGGCTCCGGTGGCAGAGGACGACTCAACCGTCAACGTCGGGCTTCCTCTACTTCACGATCAGCTTCCGTGTCCGACCAGCCCACTTCGCAAAGACCTGCTAAACAGTGACTTGAGGATATTGGACGGCGCCTTGGTTCTTCCACCTCCAGTCGTGCCAATTCTGACGTCCCCGGTAGGCGGTCAGCTTGGGTCTTATGCTCCCAATTGGACCATCTTGGGAGACCCCTTCATCTTCTCCCTGTTGTCGACGGGTTTTCAGCTGCCACTCATAGGGGATCCTCCCCTCACTTTGCTTCCGGAGCGCAGAACGTATCCCGCTTGACAGATGGCTGTTCTGCGATCCACAATCAATACCTTACTCGAGAAACTTGCGATCGAATCCCTGGGTCCGGCTCCTCCCACCCCGCGGGGTTCTATTCTCCAATCTTTCTGGTCCCCAAGAAGGATTCGGACAAGCTGAGGTTAATCTTCAACATGAAGGAGTTCAACAAGAGGTTTCTGCAGCCTCCGCCCTATTTTCGCATGGTATCGGTGGCACTCCTCGAGACCATTATCAAGAGATTTCATGGTCAGTTTGGACCTCCAGGATGCTTACTTGCACATCCCGATCTTCCCAGGTCATCGCAAGTTCCTTCGGTTTGTCTTCGAGGGCACCCACTATCAGTGGCTTGTCCTCCCGTTTGGAATTTCTTCGGCCCCGTGGCTCTTCACACGGGTAACAAAGCCTATCACCAGCTTCCTTCACCGCAAGGGGATCGTGTTCAAAGCCTACATGGACGACTGCATTCAGGCACAGAACGATCAGGCCCTTCTGCTTCGTCACATGCAGTTTGCGATACGGCTTCTTCGCCAATTAGGCTGGTTAATCAATCTTCAGAAATCGGAACTAGTCCCCACGCGCTGTCTCCAATTCATTGGAGCAGTCTTCGACACAAAAGTCAACAAACTCTTTGTCCCGAGGGATCGTTTCGTCAAGATTCAGCGATTGGTTTCATTGGCATTGGCGCAACCCAGGACGCTTCGTCAGTGGCAGGAGCTCCTGGGCCTCTTGACGTCGGCTCAGGCGTTGACCCTCAGGGGGTCAACTACAACTTCGTCCCTTGCAGTTCTCTCTAGCGCCTTACATCAGAGTGGGAGATCCCGTTGCCTTGATCACTCTACCTCTGCAGCTCCATCCCCATCTCCGGTGGTGGATGGAAGAACTGAATGTTTGCGACGGAGTTTGTTTAGGGCCGTTTGTTCTGTCTCACCACCTGTATGTGGACGCGTCTCTACACGGGTGGGGAGCTCATCTTCTCAATCAACAAGTGGCAGGGCAGTGGTCTCCCGGCGATCGCACCTGTCACATCAACGTTCTGGAGTTCAGGGCGGTGATGCTTGCAATCAGTCACTGGCAGGATGTCCTCAGAGCAACGTTCCTCATGATCCGATCGGACAACGCAGCGGTGGTTTGGCATATCAACAGGATGGGGTCCACGGGGTCTACTCAACTGCTACGACGGACCCAACGGTTCTTCGATCTGGTGGACAGTCTCCACATCATGGTACGAGCCAATCACATTCCGGGGGTGAAGAATGTCATCGCCGATTCTCTGTCTCGACTGAGTCGTCCGTCTCCAACGGAATGGAAATTGCATCCTCAAGTGTTCCAGACGTTTTGCCTTCCGTTGACGACGCCGACAGTAGATCTCTTCGCCACCCGCTTCAACCATCAGCTGCCTCGGTTTGTGTCACCGATTCTGGATCTTCTGGCTTGGGACCTCGATGCTCTAGCCATTCCTTGGGACAACCTGAACACTTACGCGTTCCCACCAGTGGCCCTTCTTCCGCGCGTCCCCGCAGATGGTGGCAGAGTACATTCAGCATCTCCGAACCTCCAAGGTTCTACGCTATCTACCTATTTGGCGGCTCTTAACACAGTAA